CTATGACATGACCACTTTAGCATGTTTGGCAAATCTCTTCTTCAAAACCAGATACTAATACGTCTATATTTTGATTTTATATGGATCACTTTCATACCTGTATTACTGCCAAAACTATTAACAAAAAGGTCCTCCAAAATACCCATTAACTCTGTATTTAGGTAAATGTATAAAACGTTAAATTTTAATTTTTTTATCTTGTACCCACTGAAGACAAGAACTCAGATACCAGCTTTTGTTGGTTTGTTTGTTTGTTTGTTTAAATATCAAGTGAACTTTGGCCAAAATTACTTCTTTCCCTTATCCCTTTCATACTCAAATTTCTGCTCTTATCCATGTCTGAGCCCTGCTGGACAAATGGAAACACATAAATGAAACATGGGAAAAATTCCTTAAATATGCATCATCTTGCTCTGTATAATGATTCAAGTATTGTTTACCAGAAAGAGCAAAAATAAAGTCAGTGAAATCTAAATTGCTCAGTCTGATAATGAAACATGTATCTTGTCTTCTCAAAAGCATTCTACTTGGTACTTACAAAAGGTACTACTTACCAATGCCAGTTCTCATAATTCAGAATCCATTTGGAAGTAGTTGTTTTAATTAATCAACTAAAATGATCCCTCTCAGCAAATGCGCAGTACATCCAGAAAACATCTTTAGGAAGACAGTCTTGACACAGACAACTACAGAGGAAGAGGCTGGAAATGGTCCCTGCACCAGCCACGGCCAAATGGCGACAGTTCAGCCTCAATGAAAAAGAGCAGAAGTGTGTGCTGGGGAGGATGGCCAGCAGCTGTTGTCCAAGGGGGATTGCCACCTATGCATTACTTTAGAGATTACCACAATAGCATGTTTTGGCCCATAAAGGCTGTTTGCTCTCACCTGGTTCAGAGACATAAGAGGTTATTAGGAACATGCTGCTGTTAATGTATAAAAGCACTTTGAAGGAGGTTGATTTACTCCAGTAGGATGAAATAATCTTGTACTATCCTAAATAAAAAATTATTGTTTCATCAGAAATTTACCCAAGGGCTTTACTTGCTCAAGAGAATGAGCTATATAATCTGTTAGTCCTTTGACACTGTTATTAGCAGCCCTCAGAAATCTGACCTTTCAAAGAAGCAATGCTAGGGAGATAGACGTTATTAACCTGGTGCACTATCTGCCCAACAAGCGGGGGTGAACATCTGGGCTAAAAGAACATGGTGCTGGCTGTTATAATCAACAGCAGATTAAGGGCTAATTCAGTTAACCCCCAGCTTCAGCTTGATTGGCAGTTGCTCAGCATATTTGAGGGACAGCCATTGTAATGTTCATCATTACTAAGGTGGTTACAGTAACCTTATCGAGGTCAGGAGACATGACTAGCTGCCTTCCCTCTCACCTGCCACTACAAGTGGGGCATATAGGGACAATGCGGTTTTGCAGTTACTGTTGCTACATTCTGGGCTGGCCTGAGAGTTTGCATGCTGACCTCACATGACCAATTTCTAATGCACTCCATAAAAGCTTACACCTTGCAGGCATGTGCAGTACTGGAAAAACAAAGATGCAAGGACATGACCTCCCAGAACTTTCTGCAGCCACTACCCTTATTTTTGATCTGTGAGACAGCTGGAACTGATGCAACAGGCCCTCGAGTAAGAGCAAAGCTGTTGACCACCCCTAAAGTGGTGGAGGACCTAGGTTCAAAGAAGCCCCACAAGAAGAGGCAGTGTTCAGCTACAGCTTAGAGCCCTGCCTATGACTTTGTGTGGCAAAATTTTTGTGGAAAGAAGCCAAGGGAAAGCAAAACTCACCCACAATTATCTGAGCTGCATGGGCAATATCTCATTCTGGGTATATTGCAGAAGCGGTGAGTGACCCCTTGCCCAAACAGAGACTTCTTGCCAGTGGGTTGGTACCTCTGGCTTACAGCAAACCTATTTTAAGAGCATGGCTGGACTGGCGCCAGAGCACTCAACACCTTGCAGAACTGAGCTCGCTCTGTATTAAAAATATCATTCAGCTCTTCAGTAGCTGCTGGAAACAGCAACGTGAAATCCAGGACACAGATTGACAGGGAAGACATGGCAGTAGGACAGGCCTGCTGATGAAGGTTCACTGGGAGGTTGGACCACACTAGAGCTGCTAGTGTGGCATCTGGGGAGCCCATGCCACCACCCAGGTGCTGTCTAGCTGTGGAGCTGGAGGCAGAGCCAGCTCCCCACTCCACCTATGGGGGACTTGCATTGTTTTGGGATGACAGAACAGCTGCGTCGGCTTTCCAGAGCCTTCTAAGGATGGGATTGGGATTCAGAAAATAATTTAAAAATCTTCATTAAAATTGCACCCACTGAAATCTCAAGGCTGTGATAACTTAAAGAAGCAGTAAACAGGCCAACAGCTGCTTCCAAAACTTCAGTTTTACAGCCTTGTTTCTAACCACAGTCACAACGATGAGCACTTTGAAGCAGTCAGTAAAATAGAGCCAGTTAATATTCACAGTAAATATCTGCTGTTCAGAACAACGTTCATCTTTTGTAGTCATCTGGCAGGATTACTCTGATCCCACAAATCCCCCTGTTCTTGTTGCAGCACAGCAGCCCTGCAGAAGGCAGGCTGCAGGAGCTGTACTTTTTTTTATTCAGGGCTTCTGCACAGATTTAAAATGCACGGTCAGTGAATCAGGCACTGTCACTGCCTCATGCTGCCAGCAGCAGCGGGTGTACCTGGTCAGCTGTAGCTGCTAAGGAGAAGTGTACATCTGCCTCCCAGCCACCTCAACAACCTTTCAGCCCAATTTGGAACTAACCATCAGCGCTCCTGTGCAAACACCGAAATCTCCGTCAACTAACCTCACATATGATAAAAGAACACACTATCTGCCCAGAGCTGTAACTGATCTGCACAACTTCCTGCGGGAGCTGGCCCTTTGGCCTCAAGTCAACATGAAGGACACTCACCCACCATGTGCGTGGCAAAGCAGCATATCAAGCAGCTTAGCTGAATCTTTTCAATAAGAAAAATATTTGAGGAGACAGTGCCAAACCTTTGTTCACCATACCTTATATGTAAACATATGGATTTGGGTTTAACACTGGTACTCAGACAAAAGAGAGAAAGACCTTTATGAAAGGATTTGAGAGCAAAAGCTATTTTTTAATTTACACAGATAAATGTACAAATAAAGGACTGAAACTCCTGATCATCTTTCTCTCCCACATCTTTATCATGCTCTGCCTAGAAAAAGAATTTCCATCTTCCGTCTCCCTGAATATCTGAATTAAAATCTGCAGCAGTTTTTTAATTCCACATACTTTGTGCATATCACAGCAACACTGTTTCCTGATCTAAACTGTTTTCCAGATAGCTTGCTTTCAAACAATTAGCTACATCAGGATTTCTGTGTAGCAAATCAATTGTTGATAGCTTTGGCTCAGCCAGATATAAGCTTTGGCATGATGACATGCCTCTCAAAAGAACTCACAAAAAATGGCAAGTGGCTTTTACAGTAAGCCTCTCAAAAATAAATTAAAATTGCCATACCATGTAGGCCTTTGATTCTGATTTTGTTTATCCTTTATCCTTTCAGTACATTCCCTAAAGATAGAATGAGACAAACATGCTCCAGTTACTCTTCTTTGGTAAGCTGTAATTACTTGCAAAACTCCTTTGAAGTTGTTACTAATCAATGTGAGAAAGACTGGCAAAGTCCATCCCAGCTCCAGCTTAAGTAAGCTTAAAAAAACCCCAAACAAACAAAAAACTCACAAAAAGGCAAATATAATAGAAAAATAAATACTAAATACAAAAGTATGCTCATTACAATAAAACAATGCTTCATGCAACCGATGTTGAATGACCAGTTCAGATCAGTCCTACCAGTTTCAGCAACTTTGACACTGAGACCTTTGGGCAAAGAAGGAAGCAGTACACACAAGGCAAGGGCCAAGTCTAGAGATAAGCTGTAATTTCTTAGTTCACAGTGCATAAGGTCTTCTATATTTTTCAAAAGTTTGTCCAAACAGTGTATTCCCTCTTTTAAGAAAAATCTTTAGGAAGCAAATTCTGTGAGTGCTGGACTGATGTGCCACTGAAAGGATTGAAATATTTCCCCTATTTGGTAAAGTTGACTCTGAAGAGAAGCCTCCCATCCCCAAGATGAAGCAAGACCCCTGGTGAAGGTGGCAGGCTTGTTTGTGCTTGTTGGTACAAAGCGTACAGCAAGGGTAAGACAACTGCTTACAATCGATCCCCGCCTGCACCTTAATGCGTTACTGCTACTGAGCTTGAGTCCTCATGACCGACAATCTCCATTCCTCGATTAAGGCAACTGCAAAGGTAACATGTTAACTTCTACCTACTTACACTATGTGCTAACATTTATAAGCAAAAACAACCACTGTACTTCTTGTGAATAATCCCATGGCTAAATTCTGAATAAAATAAGTACAATGCCCCCATATAAAGTTTTCAAGCACTTCCTGGCAAATGCATTACTAGTTGAAAGCCATAAACATTTATCCAGTGCTGCAAGGCATCCTAGTGGCAAATCTTTTTGTTCTGATCAGTCCAAGAAAACTCATGATTTTTTTCCCCTAGTGATTTTACTGTAAAGATTTTATGACCCTGTGAAAGGGACTGCAGGAAGCCTGCGCATTTTTCCCCATAGCTATCTGAGCTGGTTTTTGTGCTCACTGCAGAGGAGCAGAATTATCAGCAAGACTGAGATTGTTATATCGGGGTCAGCCTCTGCCACTGAACAGCTGCATGCATGCAAAGTGCTGCTAAAGATGCATGAGAGATTGCTGTGTATGGACCAGAGAATAAAAGCAAAGGCTAAGGTTGCACTGAAGACACTCACATTACTGCCACGCTGTTAGCTTTTCCCAAAAAAGGTACCACTGTTGCATGGCTCTGCACTCACAGGAGAGGAGACACAGTTCAAGGACTGACAATACAGACTCTTTTTTAAAATGTTTTCTCTCTTTTTATTTGTGGTTTTTTTTTTTTGTTTTTTTTTTTTTTTTCCTGATGCAGAAATGAAGCAAAGGAGGTATTCAGAAGTGTAAGGGCACGATACAAACACAGGCAGCAAACTAAGTTGATGGCATGAAAGGTGTATCTGAGAACACAGAGTTGACAGAATCAGAGTCGGATTTTGTTCGAGTAGTTTTTAAGATACTCTCAGCAATGATATTGTCATTAGGAAACAGTTTTACTTTCCCATTCTGACTGTGTTTTGGTTCATGGACAGGTTCCAGGAAAACAACCCGTTTACCAGTGCTAGCCTTCTTCTCATCAGCTGGCAGCTCTTGCGGAGGTGTGGAATTCAGTATGGATGAGTGAGCACTGCTTTGATTCAGCTTCCTCTTCCTCCTTTTTGCCTTACATTGACATGGACAAGGGGTCAGATAGAGATACAGCAGTACTAAAACAATACTGGCTACACAGGCAGCAAGGGTGGTAAAAGCTGTATTAAATGCTTCATGAGCGTGGGACCTGTTCACTGTGGAATTGCTAACATTTATTCTAACCTCTATGGTTTCATTTAATAGTCTTTTCTTATTTATTGCAATGCAGGAGTACAGCCCCGAGTCCTCCAGCTGGGCATCTGTTATCTCCAGGCTGCCATTATGAAACACCTTAAAATTGTCTATCTCCCTGTCTGGCTCCAGCAATCTATTGTCCGGACTTACCCAAACAAAGCGTGTGCCAGCATCACTGATTCTGCTGTCACAGTGTACAATCAACCTGTCGCCAACCTGGGCATCATGAATAAACCCGAAGGCTTGGAAAGAGCTGTTGACGGTGCTTTCAGAGCAATTCAGAAAGTTGTCATGCAGTAAAGGCAGTTTATTGTCACCTCCTGGGTCTGATCGCAACGAACAGGTGTACTCGTTTTTTAAGTCCACCACTGAGCTGAAGTGTCTCTGATACCAGAAGAGCAGCATGGAGTACAACATACAGTCACAGTAAAATGGGTTGCCATGAAGATAAATTCCACTAAGATGTTTGGCTGGCACTGAACTTAGGCGCTGAACAGGCATCGACTGGATGCGATTAAAGGAAATGTCCAGCAACACAAGGTCTGTCAGTTTGTATTTTCCAGTGTACAAGTCCAGAGGGAAATGCAAGAGCAAGTTATAGCTTAAGTACAGTTTCTGTAATTTGTACAATCCTCCGAAGGCTGAGGACTCTATCTGTGTTATCTGATTTTTGTATAGCAGGAGAACTTCCAGTGCCCCCAGCTCCTGAAACACAGGGCTGCCCAGTGTCTTCAGGCTGTTGGATGACAAGTCTAGGTACTTCAGATTGGGGGTTGTGGAAAAGCTTCCAGTAACAACACTGCTAATGGTATTATGATTGACTATGAGAGTGTCCAGTTTCTCTAACAGCATTGGGATCCATTCAGGCTCCAAAAACCTAATTCTGTTATAACTCAGATCCAGCCTTTTCATATATTTATAAAGATTTCCTGGCACCCGAGAGAGGTTCTTATTGGTGCAGCTTACGATATCGCTGGCACAGATGCAGGTTGTCGGACACATCCCCGAGGCGCTGCCACAAATGCTCACTGTGAAGACCAAGAGGCATGCCAGTCCTTTGCAGTTCACTCTAAATACTCCAAGTTGAGTAGGAATTGTCTGCCAGTTTAAAGACATTTTCACTGTCTCTTGGCTGTCTCCCAGTGCTCCTTGCCACAGATTATATGTGCAGTTAGCTTAGCACTAATTGCTGTCGAAAGAGGGATACAGAGGTACAGTACGTTAACATTTACGATTCATACCCTGCCTGATTTCTTATGCATGCCTTTTGAAAAATACAGGGAATTAATCCTTAATGTTTCATATGGTTAATTACAAAGTCTAGTTCTTGGCTGAATATTGGTTTTATGTAAACATGAAATTCTACACTCACATTTACACTACAGATATATTTTTTTCTCTTCAAAAACAATGCAACTGGTCTTTAGTCTTGAGCCAAGGAATGTAATTTCTGAAAGTTCATTAAAAAAAAAAAAAAAAAGCAGAAATGTTCCGTTATGGAACATGACTGGGCAATGGCATCTCCTACCTCTTTGCAAAACAACCCAGACAGAAAACTCCTGGTACCAGAAAGAAAAAGTGTTATCCAAAAAGGCTATTTTCTTGTCTAGCGGGGAATAGTTAACACGCATTTCTTACCAATCAGAAAAATGTCACACATTTCCATGCAAAGAATTTTCCCAGTCTACTTAGATTTAAATGTCATACAAATTTCTCTCTTTTTTTTTCCTTTAAAAAAAAATAAATCAGTTTAGGTAGCAACAGTCTATTTTTAAAGTTATTCAAGATGTCCAACTGGAATATTTTATATTCTGCTACTTCTACCTTTGCCAAAATAGCTGTTGAGGAGGAAATTTTCTATGCCTGGTGCCTACCTCAGGCACAAGTTTTGGGAACTTTCAGTACGAATGAGTCAGCCATGTCTCAAAACTTAGTAAAGTAAAAAAATTATTTTGCTTATACTCAGATGATAAGAACAAAACAACCATACTCTTCTCTGAGAATATTTTAGTGTCACTATAATTTGAAGCAGAAATGTAACATTTGGCAGGGTAGCAATTCCCTAGGGACTTCAAGGGACATGCTTTTTTTGCCACATCCTAAGAAAATGTACACATACTTAGCAGCACAATGAATGTTTCTGTTCACTCTTGCTCTCCCTGGATATCTTAAGTGTTTGTCAGTCAATTCCCAGGTGAATCCATATGCATTGATTATCCCCACCCCTTCACAGCTCAGATGTGAACCCCACAGTTCCTGCTCTGTGCTGCTGACAGTGGCTACAGCCAGGAGCTGGGAGACTGCCTGTGGGCAGGAGGGAGGAGGAGAAAGAAGCAACCTCCGATGGAAAGCGGCAGAATCAAAGGAGAAGTTGTATACTCTCATGAGGCAAGATGGATGAAGAAAGCATGAGTCTTGTGTACAAAACCATTAAAATCAAGACCTAAAGGGTGGAGAACAGCAGGACAGAGAAGCAGCCAAAGAGGAGCGAAGGAAAAGGAGGATAAGTGGTGCATAGGGAAGCAAGGACAAAACCAGGGGAGGAGGAATGCTAATGGATCACCATGCTTACTAATGAAGCAATTGAGGAGGAGGTAGTTTGAGGATGTAGAAGTCAGTTAAAGCATATACAACTGGAAAAACAAATAGAGGGGGGGTGTAAAAGGCAGTAAGAAGGTTAAGCAGAAGAGAGACAAGAGTTTAAGGAGGTAAATCTTCTAACACACTTCTCTGGAGAATTTGCATCTGCTACTTATGAATCTAACATTATCTATGCAATTAATTAATATAAGTTAAATTCACTAACTTCCACTCCCCCTCAGTTCTTTATTCCCCTCCTCTCTAACCCTTTGCCAATCTGGCAGGCTCCTGTCTTCTACTGACAAATACTCTTCTACTCTTAAATTGAGTGGTAAAGGATGTGCTATGAATCTAAAGAGCCGAACTTTCTAATGACCCCTTAAAAGAAGAATTATGAAGGCAGAAGCATGAGGGAATTCACCTATCACAAGAATTTATATATATAGAATGGCTTTAAATATCTGCATTTCAAAAAACTGTATTAAGAGAGTGGTAAGACTACCAAATCAAGTGCCTCAAAATTTTAAAATGTTAGAATTAAGGTTTTCTGTGCCATTTAAAATTTAATATGCAGACCTTAGTTTCACGGCAGCTTTTTTTTTTTTTTCCCCAAAAGCTCTTCTCACACTGTGCACAAGGATCTGAGGAATCACAAGGAAAAGAAAGGGTGATTACATCAAGAGATCAGTAAATGCCAGTACTAGAGAAATGAAGCATATCCTAGCCTCTGCCACAGAATTACTGCAAGATCAGGCAAATTATGTGAACTGGTGAATTTTAGAAAATAATTACCATAATATAGTCACTAACTTGACACTTAGAGAATAAGGAATCTGTATTTATTACTGAGTTTGTGAAGGACTGATGTAAAATGCTGAGAGTAAAAGTGCTATGACTGTAGCTGGCACTTCTGACTATAAGGTCTTGTCCTTGCTTTCCTGTCTATGAAAGGGATATAGCAACATGATCTTACCTATAGGAATATCATAAAAATCAATGAATTGGTTACAAAAAAAGCTTAGTATTAAGATTCATAGTCTTTTAGGTTTTTGCATCCTACTGAAGTAACTAACTGCGTGGGAAGTTAGGAACCCAGAGAAATTATTTTTTTAACCAGTCCTAAGCAACTAACTTATTTTGTTTCACTAGCTTGCTAGTCTGTTATGGCAACAATTAATATAGATGAGTTCTAGAGGTCAAAACCTATGAAGAAAGCTTTACAGAAATTGCCATTGGGAAATAATTCTGTACCTTTGTGTGGATTTGTATGGTATACAGTACATGAAGCATAATGGAAACACTCCAACAGATGAAAAAAATAATTCAATACTGAGTCTTTTAGTTAGTATATCTCACAATGCAAGGTATCTGAAAACTGCATAGCATAAAATCACATGTTTGACAACTGAATTATAAAGCACTGACAAAAAGGGAGAGAAACTGCTGTTGCATAGATTGCCTTTCCCTCTCATATCCAAATGCCTGATTTTGCAACTTATGTAGCCTGATTTTTAATCGAACTGTACTGGCAAAAAGATGTATGGCACTTTTAAAAATCAGCTCCTATGTTGAATACAGCTGTGATCCAGGAGATATTCCAAATAGGACATACTAGGTCAGTGTTCAGTTTTGGGAGGGCCACCAAGTTGAATACACTGAATAGCCTTGCATGTTTGTTTCTGTCCATGCTTACAATCATCTAACCAGAAACTCTGAGCCAGTCTGCACCCAAATCCAAAAGGCAGATCAGTTGGCTGGCATAAATCAGCATAAAACCTTTGAATTCTAAGGAGCAAAAATACTCTGCAAGGGCTGAAAACTAGGTTGTGTACTTCCAAAACTCATTGAAGTTGCCAAACCAGAATGGTTTCAAATAACTTCAGTTACCTTGTCTTGCCTGGTGAAGCAAATACAAATTACAGACATCATAAACATACCATGGGCCACAAAGGGCTATCTTGAGGGCACCCTGACAAGCAGAAACCTTCCTTGCCATGCCCAACTCATAGCACATGCCTACATTCCCAAAAAATTCTTTGCTCTTTTGCAGGGTAGGGCTGCTGAGCTGTAAATTGCCCTGCAATCTTTATTCCCCAAAACTTCTGCATAAATTATAGGGAATGGTCAACAAAGACAAGCATGGTCAATATAAATATTTATAACCTAAATGATAATTTGAACTTCTTCAAAATTACTGCATAAACATTTCTGGGTTAGTAACAAGTATGTGTACACAAGGAAGAACAATGCCTACAATCAGCCTTATATTAAAAAGTGGCATTTTGTTTCATCCCAATAACATTACTTTAGGGCTTAGAAACCTACTATTTTACAGGCTTCAGTATTACGTATTTTCTCAAGAGAGATGTTGCCATTAAATACTATCAGCTAACTTGTGCCAATAGACTCTGGCTAAGCACTTCACTATTATTTCTGAATGAGCTGGGTAAATAGCTTTTTTGATTTACAATAAAGTGAAGGGCATGGTTAGGAGTTTTGTACTTGAATTATTTTCAAAGAAATAATTTCTTTGTAGGTTTGAAGTGTGATATTTTAAGTTCACTGCCAAAAACACAGTAGTCCCCGAGATTAACTGCTGGTGCAGTAATGGTGCACATGCTTCTTAAATGTCTGAGAATAGGACATAGCCTCAAATCACAGGGAATATCTTCAGCTATCAGGAACACTTTGATTGACTACAATAGATCAGCTTCTAGAGAAGCTAAGGATTTGGCCCTTGGTTTTGATCTTCTTAATGTGTTTGTCGCCAGGGTGTGTGTCTGTGTGTTTGTTTGGTTTGGTTTTTTAAGTAATGAGCACCTAGAACTGTTTAGGGAAAAGGGGAATGCCAGGCACTTGTAAACATCCTCACCATCAGTTATCACTGAGATCAGTTAATATCCTAAACACTCTTTTTCACTTTCTTTGGGTTCTCTCTTCCATTAATGCTACATTAATAATGTCTACATGAGCTTTCTCTTCTCCTGTAGGTACCTTCAGGCTTAATGCTGTTTCTGCCAGAGAAAGCTGTACACCAAGCTACCTATCCCAACTAATTTCAGACCTTGCTATAAAATTCTTACGTGGCACATTTCTTAACTTAAGCAATGAATTGGACTGGAGATCCCAAGTCATCTGAATGCTTTTGCAAACACTACCATTAGTCTTCTCAATGTCAAACAAACGGGACTGAGAAGTGCTTTACAGTAGGAATGCATCTTTCTGTACATGATGCAAATGGTCCCACACCTGGCTGGCACTTTCTGCACAGTGAAAATGCAAATTTTTTCACACAACTCCCCTGTACTACTACAGGAATACTGTTCAGTCCCTAGAGAGCTCAAACACTAGAAAACATTAAAGATCTCAGTCCACTATCCAGAAGGTTCACATTGTTTCTACATCTACCTCTTTCCC